TCTGCTTGGAGATACAGAAGCAAATCTTTTCAAGTACATTTTGGGGAAATGACTCAGATGAGCTCTTTAGAACTTTTCAAAATTTCAGTTTGTACTCTCGTGCTTAAATTCAGCATATTGGTCTTCTCCCACCCCCACCTGAAGTCTTCAATTAAACAACCAGAAAAAATATATATAAACATATGTTTTGATCATTGATTGTTTTTAACATTGTAATTTTTCTCTAGTAATGATGCCTACTCATGTTATAGGATTCCCTTATCCTTTGTAATCAGAGGAGGTTGGGCTTTTAAGTAAATGTACATTTCAAATAAAATAAAAGCATGCTATGAATTGGAAAACACATTTTGAATATAGTTGGATATGGACATCTGTTTTCCTAAAAAAATACAAAGATATTGAAAAAAAGAATTTTGTGTGCATAGAATAATTGGGTGGTTATCTAGATAAAGAAATCAAAGTAGAAGTTCACAGTCACTGTCTTATTATCTCTGGTTGAAATCCTGACAAACTTCTCACCTGTTAAGGTATTTGCTTGACCATATATTCTAGTGCTGGAAGCTCATCTTGATGAGTCTGTTGTGGGGCGTCTGGGTGGTGTAGTTTGTTAAGTGTGGGACTCTTGGTTGGAGCTCAGGTCATGATCTTAGGATTGTGAAACTGAGACCTGCTTTGGGCTCCATGTTCAGCATGGAGTCTGCTTAAGACTCACTCTCCCTTTCCCTCTATCTCTCCTCCTCAGTCTCCCTCTCCCCCTTCTTAAATAAATAAATAAATCTTAAAAAATAAAAGAGTCTGTTGAAAGGGCCAAAAACATGTCACATTGATTATTATTTTGAGTTATCTCTTATTGGCTGAGAGGTGAAGACATTTGTTATTACTTAATAACTATATTTGATCATATTCAATCTCAGAATGCTATGTAGTATCATTAAGTTTCAGGCAATGACACCATAAAATATTTGTTATGGCTTTGGTGCAAAATGCTGACAAAGCTGTTGAATTTCCTGATTTTATAGGTGTCTTTACTGACTGTTTTAGGGCATGTTACATATATAATTTTCTTGTACTCTGTCAGTATTTTATGGTTGACAGGGCCCAATGGCTAAGGAATAAAAAAATTCTCCAAAGATCTGGCCTGTGGAATAGCCCAGTCAGAATATTGACATTCCCCAAAGGTGGCTTTCATCATGCAATAGTATTCAGCCCCAAAAAGGCATATTTCCACAGGTAACTAGAGAAAATTTGTGGCATGTAAATGAGGGACATTCTGAAAGCATCATTGACTGTTTCCTGTGATTAAAGACAAAACTATCTTTACACAGTGGTCTTAAAATTTAATCAGAATACCTGCATAATGAGTTACTAGCTTCACTTCGAAGACTCCTAGTACTGGTGTTAAGTAATTTAAGGCCCATTAAGGATGTTTATCAGGATTGAGAAAGGCATGTTTATGAAAACCCCATTAAGTATATTTGTTGTATTGACTTATTTTTAGAGAAACTTAGCACTGCTATAAATCATAAAGTTCCAAAGAATAGATTTTGATGTTGATCATTAAGCTTTTCTAAATAAGATTCATTTATGAGTAGCTTCTTCTATAAATCTGTTCTTTTAGAATTTTTTTACATAATTTAAATGAGGAACTTAGTATAGAGAATTGTTTCAAAATTCTCAGTTTGAAAATGCTTATGGCCATTGCTTTCTTTTTTTCTTCTCTTTATTTTATTATTATTATGACTATTTTAATCTTGGGTTAGGGGCATGCCAAAGTGCTTGAAATACAAATAAGACAAAAACAGATGTAGTTCCTGATCTGACAAATCATGTGGAGAAGATGCAGGTTTGTTACACATGTCTGTAGCTTGTATTAAAATCTGTTGAATGTAGTTCTACATACATATATGGCATAATTTTTTGCAGAGTTATATGTTTGGATGTTATTTACATCATATTTTATAGTTCTGCTTTACTTTTAATATAGGTACATGAGTATTCGTTACCTCTTCATGTATATAAACATATACATATGCTTATTTCCACATATCAACCACTGATCAAACGAGTTATCTCTGTATCTTCTCATTAGCAGGTGGTCATAACAAAAGTTACAGGACATTTTATGGGTTACATATCTCTTCTTGCTTTTATCATCTCACAACCAATTAGGATGACAAGTTTTTATTTCAAGTGTTCGGGAGCATCCAAGTATGGCAGGATCTAAGTGACTCATCCCAGCTCACTCATTCTGGTCTGTATGAACAGGAATCCAAGTGGAATACTTTGTCTACGGAGTTTCTGCTTTAACCCAATAGGAGACACAAATTCCTTATAAACATTGACTAGAAAAATACTTCTATGTATTTTTTTCTGTTTTATAAGGCATGACATAAAAAATTAAAACACTGGTGTAAATACAAATGTTGTTGTGACTAAAACATTTTCATCTATTTTATTTTTTAAATATGGATAGAAACTCATTTCTTCTGCAATAGCATCAGTCAACTTATTTTTCTTGTTCACAGCACTCGTGTTTACAGCATCAGTTCACAGATGTTAGTTGCCATGAATATGTATCCGCAAAAAGTGTAAACCACAACCTATATACTGAAAGCTCACCCCCACTTACACAGTTGAGCATCTGCTTATGTCTCTTGCTTATTTTGTTTTATCATATGTGTGCCCTTGCACCTTTAATGTCCTTTGTGTTCATTCTGTTGGATGAAGTTGATTTTCTCTAGTTTCTCAAGATAGGGATTATTTCTGCTATCTTACAAAAGTAACATGGAAGTTTTGTTATGACTGTCATACACATAATTTTATTTTCTTTAAAAATCTCTCTTCTACATAATGCAGGTTTCTGTATGTTAGTAGCAATTCAGCCTGTAAACTACATGTTAAAAAAGAAAAAAAATAGCAGAAAGGAAGGAATGAAGGAAGGAAGGAAGGAAGGAAAGAAGGAAGGAAAGAGGGGCAGGAAGAGGGAGAGGGAGAGAAATAAAGAAAGAAAGAGATCAGTGAGAAATTCAGTCAGATATTTCATAGCCAAAATGTCATTTTTAAGCCCCTGGTAAATAATTAAATGTTATATAATTAATAGTTAAATGTGAATGTTAGTTTTTATATAATTTCTAGAATTTGTAAAATATAAGTATTTGGTAAGTCCCATTAAAAGCAGAAACGGGCGCCAGTGTGGCTCAGTCGGTTAAGTAGCTGCCTTCAGCTTGGGTCATGAGCCTGCTTCTCCCTCTCCCTCTCCCTCTGCCTGCCACTGTGCCTACTTGTGCTCTCTCTCTCTCTGCATTAAGTAAATAAATCAAATCTTAAAAAAAAAAAAAAGGAAAGCAGAAACAATCAGCTTGATGATAAGATAAACTCTAGTACTATATACACAATGTTAATCAAATGGATTAAAATTTATTTACTGTTAAAAATATAAGAAGAATCCCTAAAACTTAAGGCACATTATAAATTGGAAAAAAGAAGAGAAATTATACAATAAGATAGGCCCCCAAACAAAAGATTTATAATCAATAAAACGAACTGCTTACTTCCTTCTTTATAATTTGTTATTTATCCAACATATGTTATTGATTGCCTTACAATAAATAGAACAAAGCCTGTGCCCCTGAACAGCTTACATTTTCTTGAGAGAAATGGTACTTAAAAAAAAGATCAAAGAAAGAAGCTGAAGTTTTTACTTCTTAATCCCCTTCCCCCATCCCCCTAATCCCTCCCCTTTGGCAATCATCAGTTTGTTTCTCTCTCTTTGTTGTTGTTTGTTTGTTCAATTGCTTTGTTTATTATATTCCACATAGAAGTGAAATCATATGGTATTTGTCTTTCTCTCTGGTTTATTTCACTTAGCATAGTGTTTGCTAGGTCCATCCATGTTGTCATGAATGACAAGAATTCATTCCTTTCTTATGGCTGAGTAATGGTTAATTCATTATGTTATATACCTGAAACTAATTTAAATTTTTAAAAGTGAAAAAAAAAAGCAAGATAATTTCAAATTGTGATACTTGTCTGAAGGCAATAAACAGGTAAGATGCAACATTAGTTAAGGCAACTACTTTGGGTGGGCTGTTTGGGAAAAGCCTCTCAGCGGAGGTGATTTATGACCTGAAGGATCAGAAGAGAAGGCTTGTGAAGATCAGGAAGACACATGTTCTAGGTAGAAAAGAAAAATGTGCAGACTGGAAGAAAAAATATAAACTAACAAATCATTTAGGACTACATGCTTTTTGACTCATTTTAGTAGGTCTTTAATAAAAGATTACTGAAAAATTTTGATAGAGGAATATAAAGACATTAAAGGGACATATTCATATCTCTCTGATAAAATAATAAAGATGTCAGGTGTTCTAAATAAGTCACTCTTCCAGCCCATAGGAGGATGTTTTCTAATAGGTCATGAGAATATCAGATTACTCAGCACAGAGCAAATCCGGCTATAGATGAAAGGTTGATTGTGTGTCGTATTAAAGCAGTTGCAAAATACCATACTATGCAATAGAAATGTCAAAAATGATGAGTCAAAGCCAAGATTTAATGAAGATCAGATTTGAGGGAGAAGGAAACAAATGTGAGTAGAAGAGGAATTACCCATGTTGATATTCTTAATCACCTGTGATGCCTATAAAATAAAGAGCCCAGGGACCATCCCTCCCTACACCAAGACATTCTGAATCATGGAAACTGCCCATTTAACAAACACTCCCTGGTGACTTTGGTACAACAGGTAATGCACCACACTCTGGGAAAACACTGATTTAGTTCCGTCTTTCTTTCTTTCTTTTTTTTTTTTTAAATAAATCAGCCCGAGGCTTATAAAGGAAAATGGTTATCCAAAGCTGTTACACCATTTTTTTTGCTAGAACTTTGGCTAAATCAGTCTCCTAGAGGCCCAGTTCTGCCGTATTTGATATTAGATTTAATTTTTCTAACTCCAGCCATGGATGAGCTAACAGTATATATTGTTACTATTTCTCTTCTAGAATCACAACCACAGCTGCTTGCATGATGGACTTAAGGCGGTACCCACTGGATGAACAAAACTGCACCTTGGAAATTGAAAGCTGTAAGTTTTTCTAAGAATGCACTAGACTGAACACTGCTTTAAGGTTATTCTTGTTCATGTCCAGACCACAGGTCCTACAAAAGTCTTGCTACCGCAGTTAATCTGGTGGATGGAGATACAGTATCTTTCTTCAGTGATGTGCCAACCTCTTAGTCTCATCTCTAAATCCCAGGGAGAGATATATAAGGGAAGACATAATCTAGCAATAAAAGGAAGACCCTAAGACCTTAGAAGGAGACCAAGTACTATTCCAGGCATTTAAAGTATGGAATTAGAGCACAGGGCCGCAGTAGGGTTGAGAAAATAAGTGGTGATGGTAGGCGAACACAGGAAGTCCCAATTGTTTTTGCCTCTCATAAACATTATCTCTTTGCAATTGCAAAATCAATGTGGTCTCTGGACCAGTCAAAACATTCACAGAGTTTGGATTGGTGGAATGGTTTTTATTCTGAGGGACTATTTTCAGTGTTTAAAATTTATTTTATATTCTTGCCGAAGGCCATATGATGAACAAGATTGGTGTATATGTGCATGTTTATTTTCTTTCCTGTGCTGACCTGTTTTGCAGTGTTGTTGCTTTTCTGGGCCACAGTTTGAGTGTCCTTTTTTTTTTTTTAAATTTAATTTAATTTTATTTTTTTCAGTGTTCCAGAATTCATTGTTTATGCACCACACCCAGTGCTCCATTCAATACGTGCCCTCCATAATACCTACCGCCAGGCTCACCCCACCCCCCCACCCCCTAAAACCCTCAGTTTCACCTACCCTATTGGGTGGGCAAAAACATTGATTTATTTCATAACCTGTCTCCTTTTTGGAGGTCACACTCAGAGGTCATTTGAGATAGAATGGGATTTTGAATCTCTTTTTTGTCAGTTCTTTGCAATGTTTTTGTACCTCATCCCATGAAACAATTGGAAGCTGACGATTTTATATCCAGCATTCTAGATAATGAGTAACTTGACTGCTGTTGCAGATAGGATATCTCAGCTGTTATGAGGAACTCTAGCTGTGACAAGGAGTCCAACTCTAAGTCATTGCTCCAAGAGGAAATACAAGCATTTATAGCACATTGTTGGTATTCTGTCCATTAAAAAACAAAACAAAACAAAACTTCCAGAGATAATTAAATTTACATGCATTTTTAAGAACTTGATTTCATATTTGTGTTCCTAAATCAACATTATTTTCACATTTGATCTTTGCAACAATGAACTATTGAATGAAATTGACCTGTAGGATTTTGATGATTATTTTTATGTAAGTATTTTTGGGATAACTGCATTTTCATGACTTATGATACAATTTAAGAGTAGAATGTTCTTCAAAGTCCAAATTCTTTGGTTGTTTCAAATTATTGGTGTAAGGATGTGGGTGTTATTTTTTTTTTTAAAGTAGATTGCCATGTACTAATATTGAATTTTTATGGTAAGAGAATTTTTCATGATGGAATTTGAATGTAATTTTAAATAATCATAATTTTGTACATAGTTAAAGCACTTGCACTGTTGTTATTTCATTTGAGATGTTTACCCCCTCAGGTAAGTAGAAAATACCTTTTTATTTTAAAGAACTGATGCCTAAGGGCACAGGCAACAGCCAGGTATTTTAATGTAATTAAATTATAATTCTGACATGAATATTTTTAAATTAACATGATAATTCTTCAGACTTTTAGAAACTTTAAGTTTTAATAAAGGGGCTTCTATGTTTCTTATTTCAATTCAGTTATCCTGTTAACAAAAGTTTTTACTAAAATATAATTGATATGTATATAACATTGTGTGAGTTTAAGATGTATAATGCCATAATTTATATTTGGTGAAATGATTGCCATAGTAGGGTTAGCTAACACATCCATTACCTCACACAGTTAACCTGTATGTGTTTGTGTGTGTGTATTGAGAAATGATCTACTCTCTCAGCAGCTTTCAAGTATAAAATACATAGTTGTTAACTATAATCACTGTTCTGTAGATACTCAGACCTTATTCATGTTTTAACTGAACACTTGTAAACTTTTAACCATCTTCAACCATCTCTCCCTGGCATCCACCAAGTTACCATCTGTTTCTATGACCTAGTATTTATTTTTAGATTCCATATATAAATAACATCATATACTATTGGTCTTTCTCTAACTTATTCACTTAGTATAATTACCTTAAGTTTTGAGGTGCCTGGGTGGCTCAGTCGATTGAGCCACCGACTCTTGGTTTAGGGTCAGATCATAATCTCAGGGTTCTGGGATGGAGCCTTCCATTGGGATTCATGCTGAGCACAGAGTCTGCTTGAGATTCTCTCTTCCTCTCCTTCTGCCCCTCCCCCCACAAATAAATAAATAAATCTTTAAAAATACCCACTTAAGTTTTATCTAGTTGTCACAAATGACAAGATTTCCTTTATGACTGAATATTCCATTGTGTGCATATATCACATTTTAAAAAACCTATTCATCAGTAGACACTTAGGTCATCTCTATGTCTTGGCTATTATAAATAATTCTGCAATGAACATGGAAGAGCAGATATCACTTTGATATAGAGATTTCATTACCTTCATCTACTTACCAAGAAGAAGGATTACTGGTTGATAGATAGTTCTACTTTTAATTTTCTGAGAAAATTCCATCGGGTCTGTACCAATTTACAACCTCACCATCCGAGCACGAGCTTTCCTCATGCTCTCTTCCTCTCCTCTTCACCTCCTCGCTAGCACTTGTTCTCTTGTCTTTTTGATAATAGCCATTCTAAAAAGTGTGAAGTAATATCTCATTATGGTTTTGATTTGTATTTTCCTGATACAAATTCTTTTGCCAGTATATATCCAGTTTCCCCAACACCATTTGCTGAAGAAACTATTTTTTTCCCATTGAGTACTCTTGGCTTCCTTGTCAAGGATGAGCTGACCATATATGTGAGAGTTTATTTCTGTTCCATTGGTCTATGTGTCTGTTTTTATGCCAATACTGTACCATTTTAATCATTATAGCTTTGCAGTATAGTTTGAAATCAGGAAGTGTGATGCCTCCAGCTTTATTATTCTTGTTTAAGATTGCTTTAACTATTCTAAGTCTTTCGTGGTTCCATACAAATATTAGGATTATTTGTGGCTTTATTTCTGTAAAAATACATTGGAATTTAGATAGGGAATGCATTAAATCTATGGGTGGCTTTGGGTAATATAGACATGTAAATAATATTAATTCTTCTGATATGTGAACATAAGCTATCTTTCCATTTATTTATGTCTTCAATTTCTCTCATCAATGTCATACTCTTCATTGTACAGATCTCTTACCTTCTCATTTAAATTTACTCATAACTATTTTATTGTTTTTGATGCTATTATAAATGGGATTGTTTTCTTTATTTTGTTTTTAGAGTTCATGGTTTGTATATAGAAATGCAACTGATTTTTGTGTTTATTTTGTATCCTGCAACTTTACTGAATTTGTTTATTAGTTCTAACAGATTTTTGGCTGTCTTTCAGGGTTTTCTATACATAAGATCATGTTATCTGCAAACAGAAATAATTTTACTTCTTTCTTACCAATTTGGATATCTTTTATTTCTTTTTCTTGCCTGATTTTTCTGTCTAGGACTTTCAGTACTATGCTGAACAGGAGCACTGAGAGTGGGCACCCTTGTCTTGTTCCTGATCTTAGAGGAAATACTTTTAATCATTAACCAATGAGTATGATGTTAGCTATGGATTTGTCATATATAGCCTTTATTATGTTGAAGTACAGTCCTTATATACCAAATTTGTCAAGAGTTCCTATCATGAAAGGGTGTTAGATTTTCTCAAATGCTTTTTCTACATCTATTGAGATGATTTTTATCTTTCATTTTATTAATTTGATGTGTCACATTTATTGATCTATATATAGTGAACTATCCCTACATCCCAGGGACAAATCCAACTTGCTCATGGTATATGACGTTTTTTTGTAATGTGATGTTGAATTTGTTTTGCTAGTATTTTGTTGAGAATTCTGTATCTATATGTAACAGGGATATTAGCCTGTAATTTTCTTGCAGTATTCTTATCTGACTTTAGTGTCTGGGTAAAATGAGTTTGAGAACATTCCTTTCTCTTCAACTTTTTAGAAAAGTCTGAGAAGGACTGATATTAATTTTTATTTAAATTTTTGGAAATAAATAAATATTTGGTAAAATTCATCAGTGAAAACACCTGTTTCTGGGTTTTTTCTTTGTTGAGAAGTTTTTAAGAACTGATTCAATCTCCTTACTTGTTACTGGTCTGTTAATAGTTTCTAGTTCTTCATGAATCAGTCTTCCTAGATTGTATGTTTCTAGGAGTTTATTACTTTCTTCTAGGTTGTCCAATTTATTGGCATATGATTCTTCATCATAGTCACTTTGATCCTTTGTATTTCTGTGGTATCAGTTGCAATGTCTCCCCTTTCATCTATAATTTTATTTATTTGAGTTTACTCTTTTTTTGGTTAGTCTAACTAAAGATTTATCAATCTTGTTTATCTTTTTAGAGAATGAACTCTGAATTTTGTTTTTTTTCTTTTATACTCTTTTTTTCATTGCTTTTGTTTCTATTTCATTTATTTCTGCTCTAATCTTTAGATTAGAAAAGACCCTTGATATAATTTCTGTCTTCTTGAATTTTTTGAGGCTTATTTTGTGGCCTAACATATGATCTATCCTAGAAAATATTCTGTGTGTGCTTGAGAGAATATGTATCTTGTTGCTGTTGGATAGAATGTTCTGTATGTCTTTTTGGTTCATTTGGTCTGTAATGTTGTTCAAATCTACTGTTTCCTTATTGATGTCTGTCTGGATAATCTAGCTATTATTGCGAGTGGATTATTAAAGTCCCCAACTATTATTGTATTCCATTTATCTCTTGTAGTTAATAGTTTCTTTATATATTAAGGTGCTCCAATGTTGCATAAATGTTTACAATTATTATATCTTTTTGATTAACTTATATAATTATCATTATATGATGACCTTTATCAT